TCATTCTAGCTATACTTTTCCGTGTATGCCTAGGCTTGTTACAAACTGTTCCCCACTGCCTAACAAATCTAAATGTGTCATCAGGATACACATGATACTTTCCTTGAAACCTCTGGATGACTTGTTCCAGTTGTGTCCTATAGAATAGATGTTAAACACCATGGATAAAATAGAAATATGGGCTATACATAATTCTGTAGCATACATAACATGAGTAAGCTACAGTCCCAAGGGCAGAGATTGGTTAGATAGGAACTGAGGCCTTAATCCAATCACTGGTCCCAGTACTGTAGATCAGTTGAATCAGTGTGACTTACTTAAGTGTTGACATACCATTCAATTGAGTTAGTGAAACTACTCAAAGTGGAACCAGCAGTTGGATTTCTACTTGAGTGACCAGTTTATCACTGATTTCTCTGATGAGTAGCCAACCCAGAACGATACTATTGTTGATGTTACTGGACTATTCCCAGCTAGAGCTGGCCAATTGAATTACCTGCTAAATGTTAGCTTAACAATACAAAAAAATTGTATTGTTAAGCTAACATTTAGCAGGTAATTCATTGTATCATCTAGTGTTGAAATAGCAACTTGATTCAGATCACTGAACGTTCCTAAGGTTTTGGAGAATCAAATCATGATAAATCTTATGAGGTGGCTTTATACTCTTAATAGAGCAATTGTTTTCTAATTCAGAGGTAAGCCCTGCACACAGATAGGTCAGTATAAGGTTTTAGCCTGATTGCCAGAGCAAAACCTGGAGTGAGTTGAAGAAGAATTTCAACAGATATTGCTTGCCATGTAACCATATAATAAGCACCGCTGTCTAAAATTTCCTCTTCCTATGCAAGGTATAGGAGCCCTTCCAGTTAACAACCCTAACAGTCATCAATATTCTCTCTCACAATATTTCATTTATGCTGGCAGCTTTCACTCTGGCAACCCAGTGGTTACTCAACATATGTGTCAAGCAGTATTTTTTTTGATTAATGAAAGATGGAAACATACTGTGTCCCAAAATCTCTGTGATGATTTTGAATAGCTCAAGCCTGTTAAATTACTGATTTCCTAAATGTATAGTTTTTCATAAACAGTTGGCCTCCACATTTTCAGGTTTGGCTTTTGCAGTTTTTTACAGTTTTTTACAGATTTGATTAAAACATTATCTCTAGGAATCTCTAGAATATAACCATCTCTGGCACATGAGGGGTAATCCCAGTTACTACCCACCCCGCCTCCCAGCCATATCAGATAGTTTAGAAGCACTGATACAGATTTTTGCATTAGTGATAAAGTTAGCCTGAGGAGCCATCGTGGTGTAGCAATTTGAATTTTGGACTCCAGTGACCAGAATTCGGATCCCTGCTAAGCCACAGAAATGCAGTATCTTGAGCAAACCCTTTCTGAACAAATTTTGCAAAGAAAAACTTAAGTTGGAAACAACTTGAAGGCACACGACCCTTTCGCACATTCCTCTCCTCACCCCACAAAGTTAAGCACCCTTCGATTTAAATGGAAGAGATTTCAAGTATACAGTTTAATTGCACCTGTCCCAGTTTAACCAGACTTTTGACATATCTACATTTGAATATCAGAAACATTGGTATTTCATTTTAATCAAATCTTACTTTTTAATCAGTCAGATAACTTTACATCAAGTGGTGGAGTCTCAGAGGCTTTCAATTAATTTGTAGTTTTTTCTGTTTCTGTGATTACTATTTCTTTGCTGTTACAATTTCTTAACTTTGTGTTTTCCTGTATGTTTTTTTTTTTTGTTATTCTATAAGGAGTTTATAAGAACCAAATAAAGCCTTTAAAAAGGTTGAGAGACATGGGATAGTTTTTATAAAGCACCTTGAACTGTCTTCTGAAAGGCATTGTATAAATATTTACAGTGAATGAATGGAATATTTCACAATGTTTGTTTATGATCTTAATTCCTTAATTAATAAAATTCAAAAAGTTGCATCCAGTTGTTAATCCCAATGCAAGTAAACCCATTGAATCCACTGAATTTACGTCATTGTTGGTTCTCCAAGTCCCCATTGACCTAATCTAGTTGGGACTAGGAATTTGCCTCAGCCCAGGGCTTGTTCATAATATTAATTCATATATAAGAGTATATCCTCTCAATTTTTTGTGCTCTTACTGGTTTTAATCACAAGAATCTGAATTAATTTGAGTATAATGTTGATTTTGGTTGGAGAGTAATTTTGTTCTTTGTAACTATTGATTAATGGTTTGGTGAATTTAAAAAACCCATAATAAAATGATTTAAAGTATCAGACAGCTATTTTGAATGTAATAAAGAGTCTTGTCATAGAGAGTTTTTTTCTTCACCCCGATACTTTAGAAGATGAAAAACATTTTATTCAATAGAAAACCAGCATCTTCCTTGCTCATTTGGGGCCATTTTTGGCAACATACTGATAGTCATACATATATAAATGTGATAATCACTTTGAAATGCAAATCGTTAAAGAAAAATAGCATATGGTGGAGGTAAGTACATTTTCAAATCAGCACTTACATTTTAGAAATATGAGTACAGATGAAATTATTCTTTGGAAAGATTCTGGAGCTTTTGACACATTGAAGCTTGAACTAATCAAGGCTCTTCTGTAAGCATATACACATATCCATATCAAGGAACTAGTGCTGAGAATACATGGATTAGCATAGTAATTTAACTGCCCCCTGCTAATCAGCTAAAGCCACCAGATGATGCGTACATGATGCATTTGCGGAGGCACTCTTTCAGAACTCTGAATAAGCCCAGTAGTTGACCATGTATTTTATGGTAATTCTAATAAACTGAGAAAGTGAGACAGATGCTAAAGGGCTGCTGGCCCTTGCATGTAAGATTTTGGCGTGAAGGTTTTACAAGGACCACTTCACAAAAAAATCTCTCTCATGAGATGCAGAATCCCATTAAGCAACTGAATTCAGAGTGTATCAGACTGATCTGCTATGTTCTTGATAACATTTCAGTACTCCTAAAAATGTATTACATAAGTAGGAGCAGATTATGTTTTTAAAGTCCTTCTGGAAAGTTAGGAGGGGAATTTGCTTCTTGATGAATACATTTCTTGATCTGTAATAAAATCTTTGTGTTTAATAAATGATAGGAGTACTCATCATTAACAGATTAAGGATGCTACAGCCACCGAAGTTGCTGTGCTTCATTGGGGGGCGGGGAGTGTGGGAAATCTGGCGCCCCATGCCCCGCATCACCTAGCTCCAGCTGAGGGCAATTACATGGGAGAAACTGTAGAGTCTAGTGGCAACACAGGAAGCCTCCCATGTTGCTGTGGTGGTGACATGCACCAGCTCCAACCTCCTCCACCCACAGAGCTGCATCAGCATTGTCCGGTGGGAGCCGGCCAGCTCTGTGGGTGACCTGGGCTAAACTGGCACATGCCGCGGGATTTACCTCCATGTGAAGAGGTCCTTTGTCACCACTAGACACTGTGTTTGTTTCCATATTTGTGCATCTATTATATCAAGTATATAACTGGATAGCTGTACAAATCATTCTGATGTCAGAAAAGTTCATTGTAATGTCAGAGAAGAAAATGTGTTGAGTTTCTTTTACCTTTTCTCACACACTCCTTTATATCCTGATGTTACCACTGAGTTAGCAGAAGAAGTGCAGCTTGACAAAAATCACCCTGGAGATCCATGCTTCTCTGTCACTGAGGGCATTGCTGAGCAGAACACTACTTAGGCAATCTCCTAACTACAGAATCAAATTTTGAATCTCGCTCTGTATAATTATAAACTAGCTGTGACTGAGAGGATTTTGTTGAATGACTATAACTTTGAGTCGAGTTGGAAGGGGCCTCATGAGTCCATCCTCTTGCTCAGTGCAGGTTTTCAAGCTATAGCATCTCCAGTATGTAGATGTCCAACCTCTTTTGAAGACATCCAGAGAAGGAGACCCCACCTTCTCTAGGCAATTGGTTCTATTACTGACCGGCTCTCATTATTGAGGCATTATTTCTTCCGTTTATTCAAAATCTACTCTCCTGTAACTTAAAAATCATTAGGTCTGGCCCTACCCACTGGGACAATAGGGAATCAATCTGCTCCCTACTCTTTGTGAGCTAAGTAAATACCTTGAGGTATTTAAGGGATCTAATAATGCAATTCCTAAGTCTTCTCTTCACCATACTGAACATGGCCAGTTCATTCCTCATAGGTTTTGTTCTCCATACCTAGTACCATACTTCCTACACTATATCCTTCTTAAAATGAGATGACCAGAATAGAACACAGTATTTTAGATGAGAATTAATACTTTGACTTGTGACGTTTTTAAGTTACGTACAAGCTGTCCCCTGTTGGTTTTTTTTAAAAAATGGTGAGGGGGGGGGTGTTAATAACATTTCACTTCATTTCAACAGAGAATTTTGCTTTGGCATAAGAACATCTTAAGTCAAAGTATAGTGGGACTATTACTTCCCTCATCTTGGAAACTATATTTCCACTCCTGCGAAGGCTAAAATAGCATTTGCCTTCTTTACTGCAGCAGCGCATTGCTGAAACAGGTTCAACTTACTGTATAAGATCAACTACCATGCTGAACCATGTGTCCTTCAATTTTTCAACCGATTTTGAATCCATCAGACAGTGTTTCCATTTATTCCATGATTAATTAATTTTCTAATCAAAATATTATGGGGAAACCTTAACAAATGACATCCACAGCATTCCCACCATCTATTCAACTAGTGAACTAATTGGGGAAAAAGAGGTTTTTGACAAACACATGCTGGCTTCAAGATGGCATCAAGATACTTGCAAAGTGACTCCTGTATCCTTGCAAAGTTATCCATTCATGTTTCCGCAGTAGTGCTGCCTCCCATTTTCTGAATAGAGTGGTCATCCAGTGTGTTTTATTGAAACAACAAAAACAGCAGTTGATCTAAATTTATATTCTTCTGAATGTGAATTTGCTTTTCACTTCTGGTATTGTTGTATGTGTTTTCTCTCACTAGGAAATGTGACAACTAGTACTTCTGTGTCTCAGATGACAAGTGGCATCAGTCTTGTTTCCTTCAACAGTCGGCCTGATGGAATGCATCAACGTTCCTATTCAGTCTCCAGTGCTGACCAGTGGAGTGAGGTGACAGTCGTTGCAAACTCAGGCATCAGTAGTGGTAAGACAATGACATAATTTCTATTTTATTTTTATTTAAGAAATATACACACATTCATGAAATGTTCTCCAAGAAGCAGGTGTTATTTAGCAAAGAAAGAGAACAAAAGGTGGAGAGAATCTTAGTAAATCATGCTTTTCAAACAACTGTATAGAAGTATTGTTGCAGTTCTGTCCCCCCCCCCCCCCCAAAGAAACAGGGAATTGTGTTTTCACCTCATAAAATTCTAGCCTATGTGGTGTTCGTAGGGGTAACTGGAGGTAAACTCACCTTGTCCCAAAATGAAATGTTGCACACTGGCAGTTACCTGTTATATAGGAARCCATAGAGGGCTTACAACAGAGGGCTTACAGCTGTTTCTTTTAGATATTTGGGAAATCTGTCTTGTGGYATTTRCTACTCCCTTCACCCAATCAATCAACCCTCTTCTGGTGCTTTTAAAAAACTAGTATGAGAAAGGATCTAAACCAGACCTATACAACATGCAGCCTGTGGTCCGCATGCAACCTACACAAGTCGTTGATGCACCGCCTGCCCACTTGAGGCTTTGCCCTACATATACTCAGCACTGCTGCACGCGTGCACCTGTCTGCACACTCTGCCCTTCCCATTTCAACCAGTTTATGGAAACACTCTTGGTGGAAAACACTCAGAAAACACAGCACAATATTATTTTGTTGGAGTTAAGGACCATAGAATTGGTTCTATACAAGGATCATATCAGGGCAGTCATGGTCTCAATTTCACACATTATACGTAAACAAAAAATGAACGCAGTGTCAGAAAATGAGATCTTTGATTTTAGCATCTATCTAGTAAGGGTGACCAACCTGATCAGAGAGTGCCTGAGTAGGAAAAAAGTGCAGGATGCAGAATGGAGTCTTTATCTGCAAGTCTTCAGGCAACTAGTGGAATACTTCAGCCTCCTCAGTGGATTGTTCACAACACTAAAAAATGTCCAGCTGCACAACCATTGCAAAAATTTCTCTTCCAGGAGGAAGCAGGCCTAGATGCATTAATCAGTTTTTGGCCTGAACAACAGCTATACCAGTTTCCTATATTTCCATTACTTGTGTAACACTTTCAGAAGATCAGGCAGTAGGCAGTAGAAGTGATTTAATAATTATAATAATATTTTTTTATTTATACCGTACCACCATCTTCCATAGGGACTTGTTGGGAGGGGGGGGCTTACAAAATAGCACACAAAGATGCCATACATAAAATACATAATACATGGAATAAAACACATCAACATGAAAACAATAGTACATTACATGAGCCAGGTGTATAAATTGGATAAAGCAACCTCTATTAAAAATAGAGTTTAGTAGCCCTAACGTCTTTGAAGAATATTTATTTATATTGTTTGATTTGCTTGCTTGTTTGTTGATGTATTGTTGTATTTATATTTGACGGGCTTGGCCTCATGTAAGTCCCCCCAAGTCCCTTCGGGGAGATGGTGGTGAGGTATAAATAAAGTTATTATTATTATTATTATTATTATTATTATTATTATTATTACTGTAATAATTAAAATGCTTCTTCTGCACACACAAAATTGGCAACAGAGTTCTGCCTAGGGTAGATGTGCATTGAGTTGTACGTCTTTTCCCATCCCACTGGCTCTGGAATGCCCAGCAGAAGGCACCTTAACCCTAGGTAGCAAACTTACAACAGTGTTTTCTTGACAGGATTTCTTCAGACAGTGTTTGCCTTTCTCTGAGACCAAAAGACTGTGACTAGAATAAACTCACCCAGTAGTTTTTCATAGCTAAGCAGAAATGTGAACCTTGTTCTTCCAGAATCCTAGCCCAACACTAGATGTGTGACAACTTGGGTGTTTTCTTTGTTTTTGCTTTAGTGTCTTTTCAAATTGATGTGGGAAGGGCATTGTAGTCCTACCACTGGTGAAGATAGTTTGGATTTCTGCTCTCCACAGAAAAGGCTTACCCTGAAATTTTTGCCGCATCCTCCAGAAAATATAGGGAACTGATTCTGGCTGCTACAAGAAACTTCTCTTTTTAAATTTCAGCATCTCTGCTCCCCACCCCAAAGGTTTTGAATTTCAGAGTTATAATGAGATAATACTTTGAAAGCAGCAGGGATGGTGAAGAAGCTGAGAATCTGTTTGGTTTCAAATGCCAGTCTATGAGAATGCGGCTGTTTATTGTCACATGGTTTTATTGTAGACGAAATAACGTATTGGGATTCATTTTTCTCTCTCTCCACTTTTCCCATTAAATTAATACTTTGTGTGGATAAGTTTTCAAAATCTTCTTATCCAGAGATTTGGTTCCCTGCAGCTTCTGTCTTTTAAGCAACTGTGAACATTCCCTAATTAGATAAATTACTTTGTAGAGAGTAGAGGTGCAAAACAGGAGGTGTTGGTTAAATTAAAAAAAGGGGGAGGTGGAATAGAAAAATCCATTCTATGAAATGGAATGCCCCACTGCTTTATGACTATTACAGTTGTAAGATTTTACATTTAAGTACATGAAGTTTAAAATTAAATGTCTAATATAATTTGGTGCCAGTAACATGAAGTCTGTGACTGTCCTTAGAGAATATCTAGACAGCTTCGTTGGCTGCTTCAAATTGCTGTCTGCTTGACAGTGAGAAAATCATACAACTGGATCCCTTTTTAGTTAAATGCCAGGTACTGTTCAACATCGCTTAATGCAATAGCACATTGAGCTTTGAATTTCTTACTTAAACTGTTACAATACAATACAGCATGAAAAACAGCTGTTCCTGTTTACTTACCTCTTCTGAGTGTTTGGCAGAAGTAATTTTAGCAGCAAGAAAATAAAAACTGGAGGTAGTAAATCCCTGTCCTGGGATCTCTTGTGTAGATTCTTTATGGAGGCACAATTGATCTACACATCAGACCCTGGTGTAGTTTCAACAGTTTATCACTCTAATGGTGGCTGTAAAACCATGGACGTGGGCTTATAAACCCTATAAAAGAACATGGTGTCTGTAGTTGATGATGAAGCAGCTTTGTGTTATTGATAGATTTAGAACAATTACCCCTACTGCAAGTATCGGCTGATAGGTCTTGTTGTATCTGATTTGGAGGCATGCACTTCTCTTTGATTCATTATCTTTCCTTCTTTCATGCTTGTGTGTGATTATAGGATCTCTTGCCCTCTGGAGATTCATGTATTCCCTCTTTTGTTTTTGTTTCACACTGGTTATGCCTGCTTCTCATTGGTATTTACCAATGCAATCCTTCCAGTGCTATGTGTTCTCTGTCTCCGATTACCTTTCCAGTATGTTCTTTATTCTGTGCTCCAGTATCGGGCAAAACCTAAGTTACATTTGTTGAATATGCTTACATTTATCATTTAGCTAGCATAAAGTTAATGAATAAAATTCCTGGATCTGCTCTGGAGGCTCAGAGGGCTCTCTTGGAGGAGGGGGGAGAGGAAAGTGGGAAGTCCACATTTGTAGTATTGGATCCTGGCAATGAGCAATGAAGGTAGCAGAATTTCACCATAGCAAGACTATAGTTTCCCATTTTAAACATCACTGAAAAATATGGGTTGACACACAACTTTTCTGTAGCAAAAAAAAAAAAAAGACAAGTGTGTCATAGAGTTGGTTGAACACCTCAACAGAAGTTCCTTTGGATTTTTGGCGGAACCTCAAAGTCTTTGTGAGCCCATGCTGAAAAACCCCCATCATCTAGTTCAGTGGTTCCCAACCCATGGGTCACAACCCCATTCGTGTATTCTGTGGGGTCACCAAGCAGTGGTGAGCTATGGAATTTTTTTAAAGGGACAACAACAAAAAAACGCATAATCACATCTTTCACAGAGATATGTTTGCATAAATGTGTAACGAACTTTCGTTCGTCAGGTGAGCTTGTTGTGAGGTCCAGGTCTATGCGCAGTTAACATTATTTTGAATTACATTATACTGAAAAATCTATTTTGACATGGTTTCATTTACCCTATTAAAAACCTCAGTATGAGTGTTGTGGGTCACTTTGCCTCTATAAAATGGAATCACGACTCGAAAAGCTTGGAAACAGCTGATCTAGCTGCTCCATAAGATACAAAGAAGGGAGAAGAGCATGATTGTCATGCATCCCTTGTTTGTGCTAACATACTGGGAAGGGGGAAAATCCTTCTCACTACATTATGCCCTCAACTTTCACAGGTTTTTCTTTCATGGATTTGATTATTTCTCAGTATATAGCTGCTTTTGTCACTGTTCTACAAGCCTGTCATCTTCTGCCTACTAGGATAACACTGCTGCAAAATTGTTTGCAATGTTATCATTGTTTTCCTTGCCTTCCTCCTCTCTTTATCCTTTCCCGGTCAATACTTCAGCCTATATCTCCTTTCTCATTCTTGGAGCCATGACAGCTCTGTCCTGCTACCAACCACTCTGCCAGCTTCTTCTTCTATGTAACCCCCCCCCCCCTTCGGATTTCCATGATTTGGAGCATGCCACAGAGTGCCCATATTGCCATGGCTTTCTTGGTGAAATCAATTGGAGAGGCATAGAAGTGAGAGACCCTAGAGTAATGGGCTAGTGCTAAGTTACACATACTGCCCAGGATTTATTCCTCCAGCTGGCCTTCCAAGTCAAACTTAAGTAGACATAGATGTCTCAGTGCTTTCACTGTATCTGTACCATACCTGCCTGCAACAAGATAAACCTGTTGTTGACATTCGGCCCATGGCAGCCTCACTTGGAGTTTCAGCAGAAGAAACTCCACACCCTTTACTGAGCTGTTCTTTCATTGCTGGCTTGTCCCCCAGGAGAGGCATGAAGCTGCCAAGGATGTGACCTTGGGTAAAATTTGGGCATGGAGCGGGGTCAAAAACAAAGGTCCATTGGGGTGAAAGGGAATGGAACAATGGGAGATTTGCACCATTCTGAGTTCAGCTTAAAAGGAAGGAAAGGAAGAAATTTTTCTACACTAAGACACCCCTATGGCTGTCACCAATCGAAGCGAAACAAAGAAGACTGCTAGGGTGGCAAAA